GATCGGATATCGGATGTGACCGACTCCTGGTGCCGACGCACGGAGTCAGGATTTTGCTGATAATCCCCCCCCATGGGTCGGCAGCTCCAAGTCCCGATGCCTCTTGCCGTCCTCACCCTTCCCTTCTCAGTCTCCTGCTCCTCCGACTTCTGGTGTCGACGCACGGAGTCAAGACTCTGCTGATGAGACCCCCCTGCGGGTCGGCCGCTCCAAATCCCGATGCCTTCTGTCTTCCTCGTCCCCTCCCTCCTCCTGTCGGCGAGCTCACAGGGAAAATGACAAGGGGCGGGCCTTCTCAGAAGGCGCAGCAATGCACCGGCCTTCTGGCAAGTTTTTCCAGGTCTTCCCCGAGGACACAGAGGTTCGTCCCAGGTGCGAAGGCTCCCGAGAAGTCCCGCCGCCTCCTGAGAAGGCCTCCTCCCCCCCTTCGTTCGCCGCCTATCCAACTCCCGATGCTTTTTGACGTCCTTCGGCGTTGGGCAAACCTTCCTTTAGTAATAAACCGCCCTTGAGTGAAAACGGCCTCGGAGCGAAACCGACGGACCTCGTCCCGCAAAAATGACCGCCGCGACGCCCTCTCGCGAACCGAAACGGCCAATTCGCGAATCGACGTGTCAGGGCAGGAGGTCTATCAACCTCCGAGTCCTCCTCCCCTCCCTTCTCGTCCTTTTGCTCCTCCCTCTGCTCCTCGAAGTCTCGAATCTGGCGGCTGGCGACCGTCGCGTCGCCGCGCGAGCGGGCGGGCGGCGCTCTCGCGTGTCTTTTTCTGGCCGCGGGCGCCTCCCTGAGCGGGCGTGAGCCTTGGAGGAGGAGGAGGTGGAGGAGGTAGGGAGGCGAGGAAGAGAGAGGGATACATATATATATATATATTTGTATATATATATAGAGAGAGAGAGAGAAAGAGAAAGAAAGAGAGAGAGAGAGAGAGAGAGCGATGGCGAGAGAGAGAGAGAGTTAGAGTGGAGATATGCAGAGAGAGAGAGAGGGCCAGAGAGAGAGCGAGGGGGATATCTGGTGTGCATCGAAGCATGTTGTATACACGTGAATATCCATACAAACGGTCTATATCCTAGAATGCTAAGAAAGAGAGGGAATATCTAGATAGAGAAGCACAGAGGGATAACACCAACACACAAGAGAGAGGGAAACAACACACAGGGAGAGAGAGAGAGAGAGAGACAGAGAGAGAGAGAGAGTGAGAGAGAGAGAAACAGAGCGACATATAGAGAGAGAGGGAGAGACGGCGAGAGAAAGACAGGGGCGGGGAGAAAGAGAGAGAGGTACAGAGCGAGAAGAGAAAGAGAGAAAGAGCGATAGAGAGAGAGAGAAAGAGAAAACGAGTGTGAGAGAGAGAGAGAGAGATAGAAACCAGGACAAGAGCGAGAGAGAGAAAGAGAGAGAGAGAGAGAGATAGGGACATACAGAGAGCGAGAGAGAGAGAGAGAGAGAACCATCGAAACAAAAGATGGGATGGGAGGGAGGGGGGGGGATGAGGAGAGGGAAGAGGGGGAAAAGAGGAATAGAGGGGGGGGGAAACTGTGAACGGGGAGGATGGACAGGGGGGCGGATGGAACGACGGGGGATGGCACGAGGGGGGGGCGGGAAGGGGGCGATGCAAGAGAGGGGGGTGGCCTCCGCACCCCCTCCTCCTCCTCCTCCTCCTCCTCCTCCTCCTCCTCGTCCTCCTCCTCCTCCTCCTCCTCCTACTCCTCCTGCGTCTCCTTACTTGGCCTTTTTCCTTCCTTTCCTTTTCGTCCTCTTCTTTGTCCTTCCTCGCCTCCCAATCCTCCTCCTCCTCCTCCTTCTCCGCCTTCCCTCCCTCCCTCCCTCTCTCCCTCTCTCCCTCTGTCGCAATGCCTTCCTCCTCCTCCCTCCCCCTCCCTCCCTCCTCCGCCTCCGTGTCGGCTGGGCGGGTTGGGCGGAGCTTCGCGGATGGAGGGCCGGTGATGTTCAGAGTGTGGCTCTCGCCTTGGCGCCGCGCGCATGCGCTGCAAAACCTTACCAAGGCTTCACGGGTGGAGGGCGGTTCCGTCTCAAGCTGCGGTCCTCGCACTGGCGACGCGCAGCGTCGTTCAAAGTTCACAGAGGCTCCGCGGATGGAGGGCGGACGGTCTTCGAAATATGGCTCGCGCCTGAGCGCTGTGCACATTCGCCTTGCAAACTTTGCGAGAGCTTCACGAATGGAGGGCGGCTCCTGTTCAACGTGTGGCTCTCGCCTCAGCTCCGCGCGCAGTCGTTCTACGAGATTGCAAGATCCTTGCGCATCGAGGGCGGTGCTTTTTCAACATGCTGCTCCCGCCCTGAGGGGGCCGTGCGCAGCCGCTGTACAAATTTACGAGACAGCAATGACGTACGCTTGTCTTCCAACGGGGCACTTCCCGCAGCGAAAGCAATCTTTTGCAGGGGCATGCGAAGAGGAAACTTGGAGGGACAACTTTTCGCAACATCGCTGCTGCGTCTTGGGGTTGCCCTGGTGTTCCTCCTACTGCTCTTGGCACCGCCCGCCTGTTGGAAGTGTCGGGGCCTCAGAGCCCCCCGCCAAAGCGGCGTCCCCTCCCCCAGAAGGGGTCCTTGGACACGCACCCTCCCGCAAAAGCTTGGCCTCGCCCGCCAGATGTCCCCAGTGGGAGTCGTGGCTGTGGGGCTCGCCCCTCCTGATGGAACGACTCGGGATCCAACAGCGACCATGTCTGGTGCTTTTTGCTCGTCCTGCAAAAACTGCTCGCAGTCGCCGCAGCCTGGTGCTGCAATGGGCCTGGGGCGCGGTGAGAGCCTCGAGCAGGGACTGACAGTCCCGGCATCCCTATAGTCCTACCACGAAATGTTCTTAGAACCCAACAGTGTTCTAAGAACAAAAACAATGTTCGTATAGCATAAACCCGATTTGCTAAAATAAGAGAGTCCCAACCTGAAGTGTTCTAAGAACATGTCGTGGAAGCAACAACAGGTTCTTAGAACATTACCTGGTAGGCCTATAGGCACGCCAAGACGCTTCGTCACTGCTTGCTCAGCCACGAGCACCTCGAGCCTAACTGGCAGCGGCGGTGAGGCACTTCGAGCTGAGGAGGCCCAGGCGAGAGCGCGTCGGAGGGACCCCCCCCAAGAGAAAAGCCGGGAGGGGCACGACGCTCGCGCGGCCGCAGCCCCGCCTAGTTCGAGCCTAACTGTTTCGTGTCGTCGCCGCAGCCGTCGTCGCGCCGTCTCCGTCGCGGTCGTGCCGGCTTCGCGTCGTCCCCCGTGCCGCTCGGGCGCCTCGCCCGCCGGCCCGCGTGTGGCGGGCACCAACGTCCTGGGCGCTCAAGAGTGCCTCGCGGTGCCAATGTCGAGGGCTGAAGCGCATCGGACAAACATGCCTCCTCCTCGTCCTCCTCCTCCGCCTCCTTCCTACTCGTCCCTCCTCCTCCTCCTCCTCCTCCTCCTCCTCCTCCTCGTCATTATGCTTCATCCTCTATCCTCCTCCTCCTCCATCCTCCATCCTCCATCCTCCATCCTCCATCCTCCATCCTCTGCCTCCTCCTCCTCCTCCTACTACTCCTCCTCCATCCTCCATCGTCCACCCTCCTCCTGCTCCTCCTCCTCCTCCTCCTCCATCCTCCATCTTCCATCCTGCTTCTCCATCGTCTTCCTTCTCCTCCTCCTCCTCCTCCTTTTCAACCTCCTCCTCCTCCTCCTTTCTCCTTTCTTCATCCTCCGTCCTCCTTTCTCCATCCTCCATCCTCCTAATTCTCCTCCTTCGCATCCTCCTTTTCCTCCCTCCTCGTAGAAGAAGAAGAAGAAGAAGTCGAAGGCAACTAATACATACATAACAACTTTAGTACTAATACTAGTACGATCATGATATGAATGATACGACAACGAATTATAACGTTCAAAATGGCAACGATAATACATATTAACAATATTACTAATAGAAATAATCCGCTAGCCCCCTCTGGGTCTCCAGGCGTGGGATATTCTTCCCCTCCCATAATCCCCCCCGCAGGGACCCCAAACCGGGATTTTGACACCCCCCCCTCGCCCCAGGTGGCTCCGGACCGAACTCACCCGGGGCGGTCTGGGCTCCCTGGGCTCGCTCTTGAGCTGCACGACACAAGAAACCGCCAAGACGGTCCACGAGAACCCCAAGTCGCCGAAAAGAAGTTCCAAGACGCCCAAGATGAGCTCAAAACGGCCCAAACGGCAGCCAAGTCCCCAACAAACCAACATCTCAAATTTCCTTTGGGAAAACGTGCATTTTCAGCATATCCACGTTGTTAGCATTCACGGCGTTGACAACCGTCCCCGAGGCCCCCACGAGGCCCCCAGGACCACCCCAAGACGGCCCACGAGGCTCCCAGTAGGCCCCAAAGACAACCCAAAATATCTCCAACGTGGCCCAAGAGGCGCCCTAGACGGGCCAAGAGAGCTCCAAGACGGCCCCAAAAAAGACCCAAGAGAGGGACCACGAACCGCGAGTTCCAGCGCTCCGCCCAACGAAACTCTCCAGAGGACCCAAGAGGCCCCCAAGCGGCCCCAAGAGGCCCCCATGAGGCACCCAAGAGGCCCCAAAAAGCCCAAAGGGCCCCCCACCAAAAAAAAACGGCCCTCGAAGTCCTTCGAAACTGCCTCGAAGAGGCCCGCGAGAATCCTCGCCACGAGATCCCAACGGACATCCCATAGCGTGCCACACACTACCCTGAACTTGACGCATTCTTGCTACTTTCCCTCGCCCCGGAAAAAGGACGGGACCCGGATCGGGACGAAGCGTGGGTCTCGGAAAATACGACAACAACAGCGAGGCAACAAAAAACTATGTCGAGCGCCGTGTCATGATTCGGACAAGCCTCGTGGAATGCACCCCTGGAGGCGCAGTAGTTTATAGAGGGGTTGGCTAATGTGGCGTAAGCCTATAGAATGCAGACAAATAGTCAACAACAAAGAGGCAGGAGCTGGGATACTGCGCGTGGCGGCCCGCGCGATTGAAGTCGCGCACGCCCGCCTCGCCCGCGCCAGGAGCGCGGTCACCCGCCGCCCAGGTCGACTCCGGCGGCCCGGAGGGCCCGCGCCGTGGCGGGGACGCACTCGCTGGAGCTGTCGGAGGGGTCGGTGTCCTGCGAGAATAGGATTCTGTCGGGCGTGTCCCCCTACAGGCGAATTTTCAACGAAAATTGAAAAATACACCAAAAATGCCCCCAAAAAACCAAACAGTACACAGAAAATAGTCCACAGACTATTTTTGGAGCACTTTTGATTATTTTGGGGTTATCTTTGATTTTTCGTCGAAAATCGAAAATCCCCCTGTAGGGGGACAGACCCGACTTAAAAACAGGATCGGTGGTTCAAAAATGGGGTCCTGAGCCAATGGGCCCTGGAAGTGGCAGGGCCGTTCTTTGATCGGCCCCGTGCCGTGCCGTGTTTTTGCCGGTTCCGCCGTCGTGCTGCTCCCGGTTCCGTCGCCGCTGGTTTTTTCCAGTTCCGGTGCCGGCTCACATCCCAAAAACGTGTTTTGCCGCTTCCAATCGCCTGGTTTTAACCGCTTCCACGTTCAAGAAAGCAGTTTGCCGAAAACGGTGAAAAAACGCCCGGTCGCTCCCCGGGGCCCACAAAAAAGGTCCTGAAGGATGGGGGCCTCGGCGGCGCGCCGGTGGGCAAGTGAGAAGAAAACCTCGTCAGAAGGCGGCGGGGCTTCTCAAAACCCCCCGCGCCCTCTGAGGAGCTTGATGTATTCGGGGGGGGTTTCGGGCATCTCCCAAAAGGCCAACTGCCTTCGGAGCCTTCTGAAGAGGTCCGTCCCCTCTCAGTTCCCCCCCCGGCTCGCCGCCGATCGAGGCTCGGGGGCAACGTTCGGTGGCTCGCGCTTCGAAGTCTGCGGACGCTTTGGTCGGCTCTCGGCGGTCTCCCAGACTCGGGCCGGAGTGCGGTCCAGCAGCTGCGCCTCGCCGACAACGCTCCGGGGGTGCCCAGGTCGTCTCGAACGGCCGCTGGGGAGCTGAGTTATGACCCGAAAAACCAAACGGAGGGAGGAAGGTCACTGCGCCCACCTTGCAGACGTGCTGCGGCGGATTCTCGCGTGGATTTCTGCCAATACAAAACCGCGAAACGGCGAGCGAAAAACGAAACGAATCTCACGGGGGGGTTTTTGTCTTCATTCCTGGCCCCCGAAAGCCGCGCGCAATCCACTTCGAAATCGGGAACTAACTTCTCCAGGACACTCCGGGCCCATCGTATTGTTTGCCGAGCGAGATCCGCCCTGCGATGTTGGCGCCATGAGAGGGGAGGAAAAGCCTGAGCTCTGAGCTCCTGGCGTCTCATTACTTTGTTTGTTCGTTGGGCGTCTTCGCCCGGTGTCGGGCCCGGGGCTCTCGGAGAGCGGTCCGGCTCGAAACGATGGCACAAAGAAGGATGGGGTCCAGGGCTCCGGTCGTGATGTTGTCGCGACGTTGCAATGTGCGCGATACGTCGGATCTCATGCCAGGCCACGCCGCCAGGCGGCAGTGCAGAGCCAGCACGTCGAAGCCATGACGACCCACGACTGCCCAGCACGTCGCCGCCGCGCCGTCGTCGGCCAGGAGCACCACGCGAAGGACAGCGAGGCAAGGTCGCAAACATCCAGCACGGCGTGCCGAAGGTGGGGTGGTGTCGCGTGCTTCTGGGTCGAGCTTACCTCCTCCTCCTCCTCCTCCTCCTCCTCCTCCTCAATCGCCGAGGAGCTGGCTAAGCTGGCGGAAGCGAGAACGGCGGGAGGGGGGGAGCGGGTGCCTGCGAGCGGACCGCCACTGAGCGGCCCCTCGGACGCGTCACGGCTGCGGGCAGGAGCTGCCAGTGGGGGGCACTCGTTGCTCGGGGCGCACCCGAACTCGCAGCCTGTCATAGGGGGGGGGATGGGAGGAGGGGGGGATGGAGCGAAGGAGGGAGAGATAGCAGGAGAGTATGGAGGGGGAGAGAAGGGAGGGGGAGAGGAGGATGGGTGGAGAGGAGGGAGTGGAGGGAAGCAAGGATGAGGCAGGACGAAGAGGGGAAGGGGGGGGAGAGCGAGGGGGGTACGATTGGGATGTAGGAACCAAAAAGAAGTGTGGCTCCACATGTGTCATGTTCCGCCCGAGCGGGTCGGGAGGGAAACGCAAAGGAATACTGAGGACTGCTCCCCAGAGCGGTGGAGCACTTGGAAAAATCGAAGATTCCACAGACTACCGTCAGGGGTTGCGTGATGCAATCGCACGCGGTGTATTTTGCGTCTCGGCGGATCTTGAGCGGTTTCTCCTGGTGTCCTCTGCCGCGCTCGATCCCTCGTCCGTCAATCCTAACCAGGGTGTGGCTGACGCCTTGCAACCAGCTGTGTTGACTCGTGTTCGTGACATGTTGTCTGCCATGGCCACAAAGCTGAAGCAAACACGTGTTCGGCCCACACCAGGAGGCAAACCACATCCGCGCTGGTTTCACTTACTCCTCCCCCTCCCCTCATCCAACAACTCCTGTATCCTCGTTGTCTAGTTGCTCCCTCCCTCATACCTCCTCCCTCCCCTCTCTTCCCCTCCAATGCGCTTCTCCCTTTTCATTCCCTCCTGCCGCACCCTCCCCTCCTCCCTCCTACCTCCTATCTCCTGTGCTTCCTTCTCGCCCTTCCTTGCTGTGTCTCTTCCCTCCTCCCACGGTTCCCCCCTCATTCGTCCCCCCATTCTCCTTCGCCCTTGTCCTCCCCCCCCTCAGTCCGCTCGCAGGTCTGAGGGCATGCAGCGGTGAATGCAGAACCAGGCGGTGTCGACCTGCTGGAGGACGGGCGCGGAAGGGAAGAGCCCGAACCTGTAATGAGGTGGAGGGGCAGGACCTGCACGGTAGGAAGGAGGAGGAGGAGGAGGAAGAGGAGGAGGAGGAGGAGGAGGAGGAGGAGGAGGAGGAAGAGGGGGATTGGAGGAGGAGAAGGAGAAGGATGAGGAGGTCGAGTCGTAGTCGGAGAAGGAGGAGGAGGAGGAGGAGGAGGAACATGAGGAGAGGGAGGAGGAGGAGGACGAGGAGGAGGAGGAGAAGCGGGGTGAGACAGGGCAGGATGAAAACAGAACCAGGGCCAAGGCGATGCCTGCAGAACCAGGCGGCGTCGGCACGCTGCGTACCCACGCCGGCGCTGCTGCCTGCTGCCTGCCACCTCCGGCGTGGCTGCTGCTGCCTGCCAGCTCCACCGCGGTCGTCGCCGCCTGCCCAGTCCTCCTGGTCCTGCTCCCGGTTCCTGGCTCCTGGTGGCCTGACGGCGTTCAGACGGAACCTCCTCCTTCCTCCTCCTTCCTCCTCCTCCTCCTCCTCCTCCACCTCCTCCTCGTCCTCCTCCTCCTCCACCTCCACCTCCACCTCCTCCGGCCCCCCGCGCCGCGCGTGCTATAGCAAGGAAAGCATCCGTCCACACCCACCACCTCCGTGTCTGGCCACGACCATTCTGCGCCCCTGCCTAGCGAATGTGCGTCCTGGTCGAGGCCAGGAGGGTATGTGTGAGTCAGGGTTGCACCCCGCACCCCTGAATACACCCGTTGGACGGGTACGCCCGCGAGCCTCGCGAAGGCCTGGCGCATGGGATCGTTCCCCCCACCTGTGGTCGTGGCCCTGCGGGTGTGGCGTGGTGGAGGGTGGCGGTGCTCCCCCCCTGTGGATGTGGGGTGGTTCGTCGTCGTCGTCGTCGTCGTCGTCGTCGTCGTCGTCGTCGGGGCCTGCGGCACCCTGGGACCCACTTCGTCCGGGGAGAGTTGGGGGCTGCGAACCCTGGACCCAGGATCATATACGGCGGAGGTTCTAGAGAAGGATACCTTCGATAAGGAACCCAGGGTCTCGCGACCGATGGGCGGCCAGACGTGGGCCACCCACCTCGCCTGGAAGCACTAAGGAATGCACCAGAGCCTGGGCCCCAGGAAGACGTTCCTTAGCCAATGCCGCCGCCGTACACCAGGCTAGGGCTTGGGATGGCCCTCGCCAGGCACGGTGGTGTGTACACGCTGTCCGCGGATGAATGGGGGCCACGGGGGGGCCAAACATCCAAGCGCGCAGGCCTTTTGTGGGGGGGACCCCTTCTGGGCCCCTCGCTCCAGCGAAGGGTCACTCTCTCACCCTGCGATCCGACGCAGCAAACAACATGTGCTATCGTGAAAAATCACGAACGGTGCCCTGGACACCATCTCTCTGCGCCAATTTCCGGGCCGGGTCGATCCGGGAGGGCCCCGGGGCCCGAAGCTGGGCGTGACCTTCCCGACTCGAGACCATCGGGACGCCAGGATCTCAGGGCACAGTCAACCCGCACAGGAAGGATGGGCGATTAAGGATGCAGGGGCCTTGGACGCCCATTCTGCAGATTTTCGAGCGGGGCGCGGCCAACGAAGTGGCGATGGATGGGCCGAGGAGGCAAGGACACAAGGGTATCCTCGGCGAGGTTGCCCATCCTTACAACGCGGGTTGACTGTACGCGCGGCCGACGGCAGGGTATACAACAACTGCATGACCAAACACTTTCGGAGCTCAGCGCAGCTCTCTTGGACCGGCCCCGGGCCCCCCCAGCTCTGGCGCGCGGAGCGCGCTGGGGGCGGTGCCGAACGAGCCGCCAGGGGGAGCCAGCGAGGACCCAAGAACTCTGCGCGGGAGGAGGAGGAGGAGGAGGAGGAGGAGTAGGAGGGGGAGGGGGAGGAGGAGGAGGAGGAGGAGGAGGAGGAGGAGGAGGAGGAGGAGGAGGAGGAGGAGGAGGAGGAGGAGGGGAGGAGGAGGAGGAGGGGAGGAGGAGGAGGAGGAGGGGGAGGAGGAAGGAGGAGGAGGAGGAGGAGGAGGAGGAGGGGGAGGAGGAGAGGCCGGGGGGCCCCGCCAGATGCAGCCCCGTCGCAGGGGTCGGAGGATTGCACCGTATCGCCGATGTATCGGCGATGTATCGCTGCATGCATCGGCGACGCATCGCCCACGCATCGGCGACGCATCGGCGATGCATCGGCCACGCCGGCGTGGAGAAACTGGGGCTCCACATCGAACCCCGTTGCCGATGCGTCCGCGATGCGGCGCGACCCGTCGGCCCCATCCGGGAGGCCCAGAGCCTGGTTCTCGGGACGCGCCTCGGGCCTCCGGCGGCCGTTCGGAACGATCCGAGCACCCCCAGCGCGCCCTCGGAGAGGCGCAACTGCTGGACATCCCGAGGCTGGAATACCAGCGAGGACGCCAGACAACCTCGAACCTCGAGCCTGTCGCCCCGTTTGCCCCTGGACAAACGGCAGAAGATTCGATTTTCCGAAGTGGTGGCTGGGGCGTTGGTGGTTGAGCCAGTGCTCAAACAAAGCCTGCATGATCACAATACGAGCCCAAAACTTTGAAGGCATAATTTCGGAGCCTGTCGCCCACGCGGATTTCTTGGATCCCCCCAGATCGTTGCCTAAGACGAAGCCAGGACGAAGATAACATCGGGTGAGGATACATCGAGAATCTCTGAGATCCTGCGGCTCCGGGGAATGTATATATGGGGCGCCGCGGCCCTCTCAGAGCGTCCTGGAAAGCTCTGAGAGTGTTCCGCAACGCTCTGGGACGGATTTATCCTCGTCCTAACCCCATCCGATTGATCCCCTCCCCGTTCGGGGGCTGCGAAAGGTGCCCATGGCCCAAGGTGCCCCCCGTTTTTCGTTTTACTTTTGGAGCCATGGGGCCCTCCCGGCCTCGTGAGGGGGGTTCTGGAGGCCGTGGGGGCTTCCGTGGAAATCCAGGGGGCACCTTGGGCCAGGGGCGTTTCTAGCAACACCCGACCCGTGGGTCCCCCCAGATCGTTGCCCCCGACGGCCGAATGGCTCCGCCCGAGGCCGCTGCGGCGCGCGGCCCCGGGGCGGCCTGGCTGCTCCGGCCCCACGCCGCCGAGGGGTCGTCGGGGTGGCTGTCGCCTCGGGCACCCGTGGCCGCAGAGGCGTCCTCCTCCTCCTACTCCGCCTCCTCCCCCCCCTCCTCCTCCTCCTCCTCCTCCTCCTCCTCCTCCTCCTCCTCCTCCTCCTCCTCCTCCCTCCTCCTCCGCCTCCTCCTCCTCCTCCTTCCTTTTCCTCCTCCTCATACTCCTCCTCCTCCTCCTCCTCTCCTCTCCTCCTCCTCTCCTCCTCCTCCTCCTCCTCCCCCTCCTCCTCCTCCTCCTCCTCCTCCTTCCTCCTCCTCCTTCCTCCTCCTCCTCCTCCTCCTCCTCCTCTCCTCCTCCTCCTCCTCCTCCTCCTCCTCTTGCCTCCTCCTCCTCCACCTCCTCCTCCTCCTCCTCCTCCTCCTCCTCCTCATCTCCTCCTCCTCCTCCTCCCTCCTCCTCCCCTCCTTTCCACCTGTTCCTCCTCTCATCCTCCCTCGTGTCTTCTTCTCGTCCTCTCCTCCTCCTCCCCTCCTCATCCTCCTCCTCGTCCTCTCCTCCTCCTCCTCCTCCTCCTCCCTCCTCCTCCTCCTCCTCCTCCTCCTCCCCCTCTTCCTCCTTCCTCTTCCTTTTCCCCTCCGTTCCGTCCCTCCGCCTTCTCCTCCTCCTCCTCCGCCTCCTCGCCTTCTTCTCCTCCTCTCTCCTCCTCCCTCCGCCCCCTCCTCTTCCTCCTCCTCCTCTTCTCCTCCTCCTCCTCCTCTTCTCCTCCTCCTCCTCCTCCTCTTCCTACTCCTGGTTCCTGGTTCCTGTCGGCCGTAGTGTTCGTCGAACGCAGCCTCCCTCCTCCCCCTCCCCCTCCCCACCCTGCGGGCACGGTCGGTTCCTGCTCAAATAGGTATTTCGCGTACACCGCGTTCGCACTGGTGACGAACGCGAGTCTCTACCTTTCCCTCGCTTTTCTTTCCTGGGCCTCCTGGGGGGCTCTTGTCGCTACCGCTGGATTCGCCTCGAAGACCTGGTCAGAACGCACCCTGGGAGAGGTCGGGGGAGTAGCGGTATCGGTACCTCTTGGTTTCCCCGGTACCTCTTGGTTTCCCCGCATGTGGTAGGGCTTCGGGTTGCGCACATCTAGACCTCCCAGATGGGGTCAGAGTAGATGGGTTAAGAGGATCGCGCCGCATCTCCGATGCATCGCCGATGCGACTCGATGCGGGTCCCAATGTTCTCCACGCCAACGGCACCGATGCATCGCTGACGTCGCCGACGCACCGGCGATGCATCGGCGATGCATCGGCGATGCGGCGCAATCCTCCGACCCCCACTACTCGGACGGACCCCATCAGACTCGGACCTCACCTCCTCCTCCTCCTCCTCCTCCTCCTCCTCCTCCTCCTCGTCCTCGTCCTCCTCCTTCTCCTCCTCCTCCTCCTTCTCCTCCACCTCCTCCCCCTCTTCCTCTTCCCGTTCCTCCTCCTCCTCCTCCTCGTCCTCGTCCTCCTCCTTCTCCTCCTCCTCCTCCTCCTTCTCCTCCACCTCCTCCCCCTCTTCCTCTTCCCGTTCCTCCTCCTCCTCCTCCTTTTCCCCCCCCTCCTCCTGTTTCTGGGGAATAGTCCTGAGAAACATGCAAATCACACGAAAATCCACAACTCGCAAACACGCAACAGCACGGCGTCAAACACCTATGACATGTGCAAATGCC